AATTGAAGGACTCAGACATGAGAGTGCCCAAACACGAAGTGTTTGCCTTGTGCTTTCTAGATTATTCTGCGATTGCAGAGTGTGTTCAAACAACCAAAAGAGTCTTGGCGTTGGGACAGGCCCTGGACCTAGCAATCAGTCCAACGAGAGGTGCCCCATTTTGGATTCCAGCAATACGGTAGCTGCAAGGTGATATTTCAAAGGCCAGAAGGAGACCATTCAAGTCAAAGGCAGATGTTGCTTTTCTGAGCGAGGACGACGTTTCCGGCAGGCGTGGGGGCGTGGTTTGCAGTTGCAGTTCTGGCGTCCGGCAAATAGCCGCGCCTTTGGACGATCAGCTCCGAAGCGTACTGACAAACATGGTAGGGCATGGCACGTGTTGGCATGCATTACTGTATAAGATTGGTGTTCCTAACGCCGCTCATAGACCTCTACAAGACGGCCAATGGTGAAAGCCACAATCGTAGTACCCTTGATTGTATCCGCTTGAACGGACTTATCCTCAATGAAGGCGTACAGCGTGATTTGCGAAGTGTGAAACAGATGTAAACGCTTACTTCGCACAAGTTGTCTGACTCGGTAGATTCTGGATGCATTGACTTCCTCGATATGCCCAGGCTCACGTATTTTTGGGATGAAGTAGTTCATGTTGTCCAAATCAAATATTCCCGCTCCTCCCGTCTTTACTTCAACATCCGGGGCAGGCCGCTGCTTATCTATTCAGTTAACGTTTGGGTCAACGTCATGCCAATCAAGGTTCGCAAATCAAGGAAGTCAAGGCCGGGGTTGGCTGCGACAGGTTACGCGATTGCAAAGCACGATCGTTTTGGCCTCGGTCTCAGAATGCCAGTGCAATACTGTCCGCACAGGTTCTTTTGTGGAAACATGTTGAATGGAAGACAGGTGGCTCAAAAAGACGGGCGCAGACCTCGATTTGTGTTATTGATAAAGCACTGAACTTCTTTGCCAGCCTCCACTCTACGCCCGCAATGTTGTTTGTTCGATTGGGGCAAGCCGGCAAACCATGGTAAACCTGCACCGGGGCCTGGACATATTACAAGTCATCAGCAACCTGGCTGTGCAGGAGTCAGATACTTCCACGAGTTGCCTTGCCCTGCTTTTATGACTAGGCAAACACGTCTTTGTGGCAGGCAGGCAGTAAGCTGAGCCAAGGACCAGCACGTGCTTGGTCAGAATTTTCTTTTTTAAAACCAAGCAAACAAAGGGATGCCCTCTCAAAAACAAACACACATACAACACACGCGCCCAAGCACGCATGCACGTGCGCGCACACGCACACACACCACACACACACACACACACACACACATGAGTCTTGGTTCTGCCAACCAGACTCCCGGGTCCTTCCGCACCTGGATGTCGCGCAATCGCTACATGAACCACGTTGAGTACAAAGCCTGATTTGTGTTTGGGCACTTTCTGCTGACACTTCAATTGTGATCCGGAGCCTTTGACTTTTTTCATGTGAAGGGTTCAATCCAGGTACTCACAACGCTAAGCACGTGCGCATGTGCAGGAAGCTTGGCGAACTGAGTTTTCAACAGTTCCAGGTGTCGGTCTTGGAGCTATGGGTGCATGCTCCCAATCTTGGTAGTAGTTGCCTTATATATATATATATATATATGTTTTTTTCTAAACTCCATGCCTCAAAACCCAAACCCAAAAATTGCATAGGAGTGGTGCCTGTGTGTTTTTTCGTTCCACTCCTATGGCATTTCTCTGGTGAGAGCCGAGGCAGGCCCCAGCTTCAGCCCTGGCGTCGGTGCTGTACAGCTCCGACCTCGAGCAGGCCGAGACGTTTCTGTTTGCTCGCGCAGAGAACAACTGGGGGGTGGGTCGTTTTCACAAAAAGGTGATTGTTCTTCGGGTGTTCCTTCAAAACCACAGCAAAAGGGCAAAAGACACTCCCAGTGGGGTTGCATGAAAACCTTGCATTGGCTGTCATAAGAAACTCCCATCTGGCACGCACCGTAGGTTGGCCAGCTCACGGAGATGCCGGCCTGGGCATGTTTGGCGCATGCACGCCAGCAGCGACGGAACACTCGGGAATGAACACTGTCCTTAGTGCGGGATTTGTCTTCTTGGCTTCGATCACTGTCGAGCTTGGCGTCTTTTTGCGTATTCCCGCGGCAAGAGAAAATGCAGTGTTGAATCAATCGAAACGACGGGGGGGGGTCCAACACACCTTGATGGAGTGTTGCCTGAAAGGGAAGCCATTCGGTTTTGGGGGTTCCCCCCTGTTTTGAGACAAGCCATGCCTGACCCGGCAAAATCCTGTGCAGTGCCAGGCTGGGCAAGGTGGACGGGCAGCGATGCGCGTTGCGCCTAGAGCCATATGGCCAATCCGATTGCCAAAGGCCACAGGGACTTGAGGGGGTGATGTCAATCTGGTTGCTCGCGATGGCTGTATGACTGGGACTTTCACTTGCTGGTGCTAGGGAAGGAGGGAATGACTCCTAGCCATCCAACTGGTGATTTCTTTTCTTCGGGGACCAAAGCCTGGGTTCATTCCCACATGCCTTGCCTATCGCAGCGATCGCAAGTTCATCATGCCATCTCAGCGATCCTTTGAGATGCTGGCGAGGTGGACTGCGGCGTGCCGGATGCCCCTCGAATGCAACCGCGGCTCAGCGATTTCGGGGGTTGCTTGAATCCGGGCCACTGCAAATTGGAGAGAGTCAAATGGCTGTGGGTCAACACTCATGGTACCATGTTGGGGTAGGTGCACCACCCAGTTTAGTCTATTTTAGTGGGGATTGGGATGTTCACTGCGGGTGCGGGCTTTTGACCCATGGCCAAATCTTGACTCGCCAAAATCCCGGAAGTAGAGTCAATCTTCCATTTGAACCGGCAGGCCAGCGGCAGAGAAGACCCTTTGGACCGAAGGCCGGGGCCCGGCCAATGATCCCACGTACGGAAAGTTACAGTAAGTCGTCAATGAATGGACTGCGTGAATCCATCCCAAATATGGGCCGTAAAATCGCAGCTTTGCAGCACACACAGTTTGGAAAGTAGTGGCGAAGTGCACTTGTGCAACGATACTTCGCAAAACATATCACAACTTATACCATAAAGTGCTCTTGAACTCATCCACATATAGCACAAAATCGCAGCTGTTCTTTGCGAAACAAGTTGCAAAGAGCACTTAAGCTCGTTAGCAGCTCCGGACTCAAACGTTGTAGTGTTTAAACTATTCGGTAGAATCTCTTGCAGGTGCGAGAAATGAACCGCTTGGTCCGGGGTCATCAGCGCTTTCGACAGCTGTTTGCATTTGACGTCCTTCCATTTACGGCGAGGGGGAGGCGAGGCCTTCCAACTGCAAAGAAAGCCTCTGTCGCCCCATGCTTCCATTTGTAGCCCCTTGGCTCGTTGCTTCAAATGCGGGAGAAAAAATCGGGGTCCTGTTTCGCGCCCAAATGTCCAGTGAAACGGCTATTCAGGTGGCGGTGTCGGCTTTGCAACGAGCAGCTGCTGTTGGAGTCCATGTCACCTCAGGAGCGAAGAAAGAATGAACACGAAGGGGGAAGCCAGGGAGTATTACATCCTTGGTTGATTAAAAGGGGGTGACCCATTTCACAACTCAAAAGAAGAAGACGAAGAAGAAGAAACACGTCACTTCTTGGGGCACTCTCCCCCCCCCCCCCGGCCATACTTTCTGATAAGCGCAATTTGTTTACTCCATGTATGAAAATCAGTTTCCATGGTTTTGGGGAAGTCTTCATCATATGGCATGCGGTTGATTGTGTGTGTGTGTGTTGCAGGGGTGGCATTGGGGAATGGGGAGGTCCCTGAGTAATAAGCTCAAGGTTTGCTTTGGCAGCCCCCCCGGCCGTTGCCCGTTTTTCTTGAAAACCCTTGGCTTCTCAAAACTTCCACAGCGTATCCAATGCTTCCACGCGACATCACCTCCTGCTTCCAGACAGCAAGCGGTCGCCTGCCCGTTGTTCTTTTGGACTGAAAATAAATTCAATGCCCAAGTGGCATCAAAGGACTTCCTCCGAGTCATCCGAACAGCTTGCACGCTTTTGGTGTCACGTTGCAAAGCGCCATTTGAGGATACAGCCAAGCGATGGTGGTTTTGCCTGTTGAGCTGCCGCAATGTTCCGTAGGGCCATGGCCACAGCCGTTTCGGTTCCTGGCTGATCCTTCCTTGCTGCTGTCTTTACACTTCCTGCTTTTGATTGGCTGATTATGTGTGGCGTTCAACGCCTTCAATTTGGATTTGGGGGGAAGCCGTTCCACAAAAACTTCAAATCCTTGGGAATGTGCCGCTCCGCGACCCCTGGCTGGCCCTTGCCAAAGCCTTCGCAATGTGGCCATGGGTCACCCAGAAGTCAGGTGCATGCCTTACACACATCATGATTGGATTGCTTGGAGCGGTACCTACAATAAGGGTTGCGCCAAAGGAGACTGGTGCAGGCCCATGAAGACTCAAACAATAACAGAGAGGGGGCAACAGAACAGCACAAACAATGAATACCCAGAAACCTGACCCTACCTGACCCCACCTGATTCACCCCACCTGACCCCACCTGATTCACCCACCTGACCCCACCTGACCCCACCTGACACCCCACCTGACACCCCACCCCACTCCCCACAGAACATAGCATGTTGGGCCAAAGCCAAACCCCGTCCATTTTGGTGCCGGCACTCCGGCCTGGCATCTTTTCTGTGCGGCCTACCTGCGGAGCCAGGAGATACAGCACATGCCACTGCTGGCCCCAGAAGAGGAGGAGCTGCGGAAAGAGCTCGGGGAGCGACTTGGGCTGGAAAAGTTAAGGTGGGAGCGGGGAGGGAAGATCGTTTGTTGCCTAAAATAGGTCTCGGGTTTACTTGTGTTGTCATGGGGTGCATCCTTCTATCAAGCATGTGCTCAGAGCCACAGGGCATTCCCACGGATTCCCAGTCACTTCTGCTTCCAAAGCCGCCCATGTGGCTTGATTTCTCCGGACCCAAGGCATACTCCCTCAAATGAAAGGGTGCGGAAAGAATGGGGAAGACGCAAAAGCCAAGGACATGGGGCACATAATCCTGCATCCCTATTAAAGGTCCCAGATCGTGGCTTGAACTGACGTCAGCATTTGTTGATAACGTCCGACTCAACATTTGAGTAGGCCAAGTCTTTGAACTTCAGATTGAGGCAGATGCGAGCGACTGGCAGCAAGAGGGGTTGAGAACCTCAGGCGTACTCTTTGACCCCGCTAAATCATCGTTGAGCATGGCTTATTCCTTGTAACACTGGAAGGGGGATGCATATTCCCTCACACAATGAGCGCGGCTCGCTTGTCATCCATGGGCGGTCCGAATGCTTCTTGCGGGTTGCTTGTTTTGCAATATTTCCCACACAAGCCCAAGCATGATCATCAACGGCACTTGCACGCGGCAAGCTGTCTTTTTTCCTGAGCTGTGTAAGTGTTTTACCATTGGGCATCTGACTTTCGTCCGGGAGCAAGTCAGGGACATCGATCCTCCAAGCAGGCTTCCCCAATCTGATTGGCTTTAGGTAGCTGCAAGCATCATGCACTTCCCTTTATTCGGAATGAAAAACAAACAGCACTTAGCTTTGGCGTTTCTGTCAATGAGTCACTCTGCAAGCATTGAGCAGCATGGTATTCTGGGGGCAGCATATTGCCCAAGTACAAGCGCGGTTGGGATGGGTCAGAATTATGTCAGGCTCCTGCATGTCCAAGGTGCTTCACTGGTGGAAGACAGAAGTATCACTGGGTGCGCCGTGGCTACAAACATGTGAGAGTCACGGGGCCTTAGAAGATGCTGATGAAGAGCAAGGTAGTTCATAGATTGTGGTATGCGATCATGAACTTAAATATGCTGTACCTAAACAAAGTCCTCCCCCAGCATTCCCTCCACCTCATTGATGGCAAGCTCACCAGGTGCTACAGAATGTTTAGCCAGGCTATCAAATCGGCTTGATGTCCCCATGCCCACTGAAGAGAATGTAGATCAACCAGAGACTTCGGGCCGTGGTAGTTGGGTGCAGTGATCTTCATTAAGATGAGACTTCCACCTGAGGCCTTTTGGTTAGCCACGAACTGGCAGAAATCCAGCGGTTGCCTGAAGAGCTGAGAATCCGAGAGCTTCCTTATGAACAGAAAGCGCAGACTGAGCGGAACCTCCAACATGACTGAAGTCATGACGGTAAAAGCCGAAGTACAGCTGAACATCCAACACGACTGAAATGGTGACGATAAAAGCCAAAGCACCCAACGTCTTTGCAATGAACTGACTGATCGACTCGTGGCAGACCTGCGGCAACCAGCAGACCTTTCTGGAGCTCCGTCCCGGGCATTTGCTTTGGCACGGCTACTCCGGAGTGGGGCCTCCCAGAGATGTGACGGGGCAGGTTGATTCCAAGCGCAAGGATATGGCTAGGAAGTCAAGTATGGAATATCTGAAGTGGTTGGTGGACATAAATCCTCATTTAAACATTGTTACCCATATGGCGGGGGTGTGGTGCCATGGACCTTTGCTGGATGGCGCTTCTAGGGCAAACAAGAAGGAAAGTGACCAGTTTTGTCAGAGGCGTCGGGCCAACCCAGACACTGGGGTGACCCAGTCGTTCGGCTCCAAGTAAAATCGCCCTCGGCGTTTCAGTCACTTTGTTCTTCCGTCAAGGAACATTAAAAATAACACAGTTGGCCGTGCCCTGATGCAAATGCACAATGGCATATGCGAGCAGCGCCCAAAACCCCGATTGTCCATTTTAGTGTTCTACTGGTTGCATGGGGGTTCTAGTAAGGGCTGTATCAACCTTAGCAATCGTTTTGGTGCCAAAGAGTGAATGGTTTGGGTGCTGTGCGTTTTGGAAGAACATGCGTTGGCGGAAAGGCCTTGCCTTGGCCCGGTTACTCGTAAAGCCCGGAAGGCATAAGCTTCCTATAATGTCCGAATGGATCGAAAGGGAAACGTGGGTCGTAGAATGGGTTGAGAGTGGGATGGGTATTGACATTCTTGTCTTAGATCAACTCGGCAAACCGAGCGCTCGCGCCGAATCTTCAGCTCAGGTGGGTGTTTGGCGCAAGCATACCCGGCAGAATTGGAAAGCCGCAAACCAAGCAGAAGTGGGGGGAAAAGGTCCTTTACATGAGATGACCATTGACAAAACCACCAAAAAGAGGATGCGTCTCCCACCAAACGGGAAAAGTTACCCATGGTCATTAGCATTCGGATTATGAGATATTTAGATTGAAGGCTTATCTGTGTGGCATGCTCGCACCAGACGCGCCGCTCTCGCTTCTTTTTTCCGCGACAGCGGGCGCCGAGCTCGACCACGAGCTCTGCCAGGTGGACACAGAAAGGGGAAGTCCGCTTGGCCGAGGCCTCAAGGCTCGAAGCAAATGGATTTGCGACAGATGTTCATCGACCAAGGCTCGAATCGACGAATTGCGACCCCGGATTTTCATCGACCAACTTCAGTTTTTAGTTTCAATGGGGGGGGGTCCCCATTTCTGGGTGAAATGCTTGGAATTAGACCACTTTTGGAGGATGGTTGCGTAATCCATTACGCACCGCCATGGGAAAACATGGTTGAAGCCATTGGTTGTTGGTATTCACAGGGGAATCGAATCATTCCAGGGTTTCTTAGGTGGTACCGGATTTCGTCCATCCACATTGGGGGGTGGTTTTTGGCCCCTCCAAAAGTGGTCTGATTCCAACCACATGTCACCCAGAAATGGACACCCCCCTATTAATCAACAGGGGTTGATTAATTTGGGATCATAGTCCAGAAAAAGGACTTGTTTTTTTTGAGGTGGTACCCCTTCAAGGACAACCGAAGGAAAAACCCGCCATTATTAGGGGGCCCCTAAAACGGGACACACCCATATTACCCGGCTCACCCGCAAGGTTGCTCAGAACGTGGTGACCAGTTGGACCCTTTCATATTGAAAGAGGAAAAAGGGATGTCGAGGTTTCGATGTTCGGGACCTTTTCTGAGGCTTGCCCAGAACATCCAGTATAGTAGTCTGCGGTTCAATTTGTCAGGGGCATGGAGGACTCAACGATTCTATGGCTCGCTGCTTGGTGATTTGCATTGAGACCACATCCTTTTGATCGTCCAGAGCCCTCCTTCCACAGGAGGCCCCTTCTGCCATGTTCCTCAGGCGCCTTCTGTCAGGTTCCGGTCCCAGTTCGTTTAAAGGGGTGGCCCACCAAAACTCGCCCCTCTTTGGAGCTCCCTACCACTGGTCAACTGAGGCCATCCATTTGCAGCAGCAGAAGTGGGAGGGCCAAACCAAGGTTCAGGAGGCTTGCTGGATGCAAGCCGTACACGTTGGAACTGGCCACCTCTAACGGCTCGCCCGCGAAGCAAGGGGTTGCCTTTGATGTGATGATGGCCGTTGTTCCCCTGCTCCATTTGAATCCGGTGGAGAATCACGGTGCCATGGAGCCTACCAGAGAAATTGTCCCTTCTGGAAAATGGTCCAAAGCAAAAAATACACCTCAGGCTCCATGGCAACGTGGGGAGGGTAAGTGGGGTAGCGCCAGGCTGCATCTCACATGTTACTGGTAACCGAAATATGAAGCAAACGGAATGTACATGTCATGGGGTCCAACTCCAACCATGGTAAGGCTAAGTTCAGGCAGTAAGCAAGAAGCATGTTTGGGCCATGGTAAGGTGTGGGTGGGTGGGTGGGTGGGTGGGCGGGCGGGCGGGTGGGTGGGTGGGTGGGTAGGTAGGTGGGTAGGTGGGCAACTAGTATCCTCTCAACAATTCAAAGTTTATTGTTTGATTCAGTTTGTTCGCACAGGGGCCCAATGGTTGGATCGACAAGAGCACCAACAAGACCGACATCTAGATAAGTATCCTTTGCCAGGAATGCCATTCTGGTTATTCTACGAAACATGTCAATGTTTGTGTATGTATTATTTTGCAGACATGGATCTCCATAGCCAAAGGGACCTGCACAGCCTGAGCCGTCCGTCGCCCTTGGTTTGCTGTGGCAGTACCCATAGGTTTTTCCTTGGCAGAAACACTTTCCAGGCACCGTGCAAGGGGAAATGCAGGGAACCACCAACTGTTCGATTGCCAGATGGGGTGCCGTGCTGATTCGTTCTCAAGCTGGAAATTGCTGCCAGGAAGTTCGCCACACCCTGGACTTGAAGAGGGACAGCCTACCCCTCAGGTGCTCCAAACACGTTGCTTCGGCATGAAGCGTCTCAGTTGGAGGTAGTTTCTGTTGGATCCGGCAAAAACAAGTTGTCATGCATTTGATTGCAGAATGTTGAACAACGATGCAGTGCCGTTAGACGTGCTTTTATGTGTCTCCAAGATAGGCGTGCCTTGCGTGTGGCCGGCTTTCTGCTGGCCGTCTGTTGCAAGGCAAACACCAGGGACATGGTTGTGGCAAGTTGATTTTTGGGACCGGTTTCTACGATGTAAAGTGGTAAAGTAGTCGCAAGAATCAACCCCAAAATTGGTTATTTTCCACAGTCACGATGGACCAATCCGATTGAATTGCCCAACACCAGAGTGAGGACCTATCATTGCTGACTCGTCAGGGTGCACTCGCCGGCCTGTCTCATGTTCACCGAGGCAACCCTCCTGTGTTCCAAGAGTCACAGCGCCGGTTGACTCAGCCCGAGGTGGCTGCAATCAGCGGGCCAGGGGTTCGGGGGCAGGGTTTTTGAATTGCATAACTTTGTATATGCCAGACAATGCGACTCAATAGGGCTGAGATTCTTGTAACAATTTCTGAGACGTGCAATGATTGTGTGGAATCAGTCACCCGAGCGTGATTGCTCGTTATAGTCTACTTGAGGGACGGTGGTCTCCAGCGTGCTGGTCTGAAAAAAAGCGGCGGTCAACTCGGGATTTCTCAGAGCGCGATTTACAGTGCTGGCACGGTTGAAAGTGAACCAAGCAGACGCCAACCACTACGTATGTTTCCTAAGTAACTGATTGCCGCGTACGGGGCTTCCCAAACCGTGGGAGGCATCCCTGGATGGTCTTTTTGTTCTTCCAAGGAGTGTCGTCAGCGGCCCAAAACTGGAAACGATTGACGACATGCATGGCCACTGTAAGGAACCCCTGGCACATTGTCACATGGGTGACTAATTGCGAGCAAAGGAAGAAATGATTGCTTCCGGCAATTGGTGAGTGAGTTCCATCTTTTTCCAGACTCATCACTGCTTGTCCCCAACCAAAGTACAACTGCTTACATCACCACCTGAGTAGCCTGGCCAAACAGAATCTCCGTTGCCCCAGCCAAACGAAGCGGCTGAAAAAGTCATGCAGCATCAGAGTGGCTGGTGATAGCAGCTTCTAGGGTTTGCTCCAGGAAGAGCGAAGATGTTTGTGCAATTGTCGTTGCTTTTGGGCGTACCCGCACACCATCAGATCCACCAGAAAGCGTTCCATGCTACAAGCTCGAGCTGGCTCAGGTGATGTTTTTCGTCCTCTTGGCTTTGCTTGGGAAGGCACGGGCCTTGCGCTTCCGGACGCTTTTGCAGGGCTCGCCCTGCCACGTCCGTGCCCGGCCCTTGGCTTCAGGTCGAAGATCCAGCGAAAGGCCACGAGTCACACTCGAAGCGCTGGAGCCTCAAGCTGAGGCTCTGGCATAGCGCCTTCCCTGGGCCTGGGCACCAAAGGAGCAACGCAGTGCGTGCGTGCGCATAGGTTGAACCCAATCAACTTGCCGATGTTTTTTGTTTCAAGACACAAAAGGGGGCCCAATCCATAAAAGGTGTGGTGCATTCTAGATCTCCTGGTACTTAAAAATGCAACCGGTACCTGGACCGCCTCAATCCTGGCTCAGGTTTGCAGCCCGGAGTGCGGACACTGCGAGAGGCCTTGGGAAAGGAAGCATTCACCTGCGGGGGCCTACGTACTGTTGCTACAGCTTGGCTCAAAATGAGTGGTGTCCTTTGGACCAAAGGGTGCCCGCAGGAAGATGACACCAAGCTCCCCCTGTTGCCGTGGCACCAAGCTCTGGCCATGAGCATGAAGTCCCGCAGGCCCGCGTCCACAGCAGGCACAGCAGGCTGAGGAAGGGCGCCGGGCTTTTGCCATGGAGACCGAAGGGGTTCGGGTGGAGGTTGGCCCACCCCGATCGCTTTGCAGAGGATCCACCCTTTCCCATCTGAAAGCTTCAGGGAGAGGGAACTTGTACAAGCGGCCTTTGGCTTTTTGGGAAACTGACAGGCCAGGTGACAGATTTTCCCAAAGATGCGCGTGAAGCTGACGGCAAGGGACAGCTTTTGACTTGTGTAGACCTTCAAAATACATGTTTGCCCACAAGGTAATCTCGGCCGTCAGTCCATGTGATTTGGTTTCTGGGACACAGCATCCTTATTTGCCAAGAAGTACGGGACCTCTTTGTTTGCCTTCAACTGGACCGGATGCCAAGATGACAAAACTCTTCCAAATTGAGGTGTCGCTCTTGTTGCGCCTGCAAGTTGTCAAGAGGACCCCGCCGCCCCAAAACAAAAAGGTGCTTCCTGTTAGCTTCCTGGAAGACAACTCCAAAATATACAACCCTTGCAAACCAGCCACCCACGGGTGCCGCCAGGAGCCCGCTGGCCCCAAGCTTAAGTGATGGGCGACTTCTCTGAGGATACCTTTGTGGGGGTTGTGTCAAAGGAAACCAAGGGGAAAACCTCCAGCTGTGGGGATTTGCCGTTTCGTCGAAGCGAAGGATACAGAATGCCTTCATGCGCCAAGATGACCAGCATTGCTGACTGTCCCAGCAGACTCTCCAGGCTTCTTCATAGTGCGTTTGTGCTCAAGCGTGTTTGCTGTTTGCCAAATCTCACACTCTCACCTTTGTGGGTCCACGTGATGTAGCTGGTGTTTGACAACCTCCAAGTCACTCTTGAGGCCAGCGATTTCGGCTTAACTTGTACTGCCAAACGTTCAACGAACTGGTTTGCACGTAGGGACAAGCTGACAAGCTGGGTGCAGTTGAATGTTACCGTACCACCACAAAAGCGAGCAAAACACACCGATCAAGGCGTGCGTTCTCAAATTTAAAAGGTCTTGAAATGAAAGGACTGCCGGTCATTTCGCAGTCAGCCTGAAGTTTGTTGGCCAGCTGCTCTAAATGATACCGCTTCCTCATCAGTGCTTGGCCTGTGCATTTTGCAGAGGATGTAAAGCCACAACATGATCTATGTGCCCGCAAGAGACACAAGTGTAGCTGCACCCGCCAGCAAACAGTCGCTTTGGGGTACTCCCGCCTGAGGCGCACAACCGAGTGCACGCAGCAAGTTGCAGCGAACTCAGCAGGAGTCACTGCGAGACGTGAGACTCTTCCGCGAGCGTGTGCATTGCGCTGATTGTTCAACGGAATGGGTAGACGCAAGTTGGTCACCGCCTGATGGCGCCTGGTTAAGCTTGCACCAGCCCACCCCAAACACCAAGCTTTAAATCATGAATTCATTGGAACAGGTCACGCGGCTGCTGTCGAGTAGAGCTTGTCAATGGTTCGCTCTTTGAGTCAGACCGGGCCAAAACAACAACTTGGGCAACCAAACAGAGAGTTGCCTGGAGCTTCCATGGGACGTGTCCAACCAATTCACCAACCAAGCGGCCAGGTTTTCAAGTACCTGAAAAATGGGCAACCTGCCACCTGCCATGAGCAAACCAAAGCCCAAGCTGCCTTCTCAGGTCGTACCTGCTTTCAGCGGGAGGCATGTCTGAAAACGTGTGCTGGCTAGCCTCCTTGTTTTTCAGGAGCAAGAGGGAATTCCAGGTGCAGATTGGACAGCCAAAGGTTTTCATATGATGAAACATTTGATCTGGCTGAGCAGCGTCCAAGGGGTTGACTAATTGGGTAAGAGGCTCCTGTCCTGTCTGGTTTGCAGTGGATGTGCGGAGCCTGCTTAAACCTCTGTTGCTGTCTTGGTAGAATTGAATGCCTAGGTGAGCTCTATGTATTCAATGAACGAATTGCAACGATTTGCAAAGGGGTGTGCTGCAGCAGCCGATGCTCAAATACGTTACTGCCATTGAAGACATCAGTACAGTTCCTGTCGCCAGGAAGCCCAAGTATGACGAATATGGGAATGCCCCTGTACAGAGCCCATGTTGTAACTGGTTGACTCCCTGAAAGTTGTAAATGCGAAACAAGAATTCCGGCAGATCAATGAATCTGGTAGATAGCTTCAACCTGTCGGACGGGTCCCGGGACCCAAAGAGCGGGACTCAAAGAGGCAGGCACCCCAAATGAAGCCTATTAGTTTGGGCAGGGAGTGACTCAGAGCACATAATATTGTTTGCGCTTCCAGTTGTCCCTAGAGTAGCTCAAATTGTGGACATGCAGCTGTTGAGGTGACCAAGTGCGCTTCTTTGGTCACAGAAGCCCCACCAGCACCGTGTCTTTATTTCTTTCTTTCCTTCTTTTTGCGTGTGTGTGTTTGCTTCGCACAGGCACCAGTGAAGCTCCGGTGCTGATGCAGGTGGGGTCGGGGGTCCGAAAGAGCCACTCCTGTCCGTGCTCTGTGCGGAAAAGTCACTTAGTGTTGGCCACACAAGCAAATGCTCTGGCTATGAACTGTGCCAACCACATTAGTAAAGGGTCAGCCAGTCGCAAGTGGCAGGCAGCCAAGGGTGCTTGTTGCACTTCTTCGGGGCTGGGTGAGCATGCTCTTGATGTGCTGCCAGGACTTGCCAGAGCCTCCTGCACAAGCTGACGGGGCAGCTGCGGCGGATGAGAGCTTGCCGGATGCTTCGCCGGATGCAGACCCGGATGCTTCGGCTTCCGGAGAAAGAGAAGGGGTGGCGCAGGTCGATGCGCCCAAGGTGGACACTGCGGAGGCTTCAGATGACTCGCAGAAACAGAAGGACACTGCAGAGGTGCGGGAGTCAGAAGCCAGCAGTTCACAGAGCACGACTGGAGAGGCGAAGGATGCAGAGGCCATGAAAGAGGCGGACGATCCACGCAGCACATGCAGCACCTCCAAACCGGAACCTGTGACCGGGGACACCAGGTCAAGCGATGAGCGTGCCGCAGCCAGACACAAGCTGGCATATCTTTTGAAATGAGAGATTCAACGGTCCTTCGGCCGGCATGGGGCCTTGTCACCCGCTCTCGACAGATCTTTGGAGCCAAGTATGGTCCGCATCATTGGCACAAGTGTCTCAAAAGGTTACATCGTCGCGGCTTGGCAGAATTCCAAAGGGTTGGCAAGCGGCTCCAGCCTTTTTGGGTCCCTCACTGCAAACCTTCCATGATAGGAGTCTGTCGAAACCGCCATGAAGTGATTCAGGAATGTGTTGCCGTCTCAGCTGTGGTTTGTGTGCGCTGGAGAACGAAGCCGGAAAGGGCTTGTTGGAGCGGCTGGCAGTGTGAGACAGGCCATGACTGGGAATGGGCTACGAAGCAATCACAAGTCTCTGTGAGTGTGGCGTTGAGCCTCTGATTCCAGGCATTTGGCAAGGTGTGCAAGCCCAGGATGCTAAGGCCACTTGCAGTAGAAATGCTACGAAAAGATCGACTTCAAAGGATGCAACAAAAACAATGGAGGGTTAGGTATCTAAATTGATGCTTCAATGCAACAATGTCCAGACTGCTGCACCACCTTTTCCGTGGCCAGCCGCTCGGCTCAAGCCAAATCTGTCGCCTTCCCAAGTGATCTCTGCTCACGTTGCCATGGCGAAGACTTGCAGAGGAATCAGCTGAAAGATTCAAGTTCCTGCCGGCCGATGCACCAGTGAATCGCCGGCAGTGAGTCTAGCTGCTATGGAAGCAACTTGATCAAAGACCGCTAGGAGGATCACATCAACGCCCTGGGCGATGCTTGTCCGGCCATTCAAGGGCATGGAGAGGACGATTTGGCTCATGGCTGAAAGCAGGGCCTGCCTCGCTCCGGCGCAGGTCTTAGCCGCTGCACAGCTTGATGGATCTTCAGAGATCTTTTGAGATGGAAGAAAGGCTGACAGGCACAGGCTGGAAGTGTTTCTCGGCTGGCCATGATTGGCGCTCAAATTCCAATTTGAACGGTTCAATTGGGGACAGCCTATGCCAAGATGCGCTGAAAGCATATTGCCAGCAAGACTTTGGGCGGCAGTTTGGGGAAGGGCTGCCAACGGAGCAAACTCCAAGCTCAAAGCAATCTGATTTCAAACCAAGTGACTGCTCCTTTGAGGGGTACTCAACACAGAGAGCCACATGCAGATATGTTAGAGTCGAGACCCCAGACTGTTAACTGGAACAGGGTGACAAGTTTGGTTGTCCCTAAACTGTAGCCTCGTGTTGTGAGTGTATGTGTATGTACTGTGTGTTTGAGTTTGTCGGCTATCCTCAAGTCCCATTTGCCGGCGTCCAAACAGCGGTGCACGTCCAACATGTCAATTGAGTATGGAAAGTTCAAGAGGAGCGTTTAGGTAGTCTAGCGTGTAAATGTCCCAGCTGAAGGTGAAATGGTGCATTCGGCGCAAGACTTGTGACAAGTGCAAGTGTGTATGTTCTCGCGAGAGATGCTTCTTATTTGGTACCCTCTACTGTGCCTCTTCAAGCTAGCCTGAGAAGCAGCAACTCTGCTTGCCCTGACTGGGCGGCCCTGCTTTTTGTGGACAGCTATTATTGAGAGTCGAGGCATCGTGAAAGCCCAGATGTAGCTGATGACTTCACTCAAGCAGTGTATCCTGTAGGTGGTGCAAGTGGCAGCAGCGGCAACGGACGTCCAGGCCGGGATATCTTGAAGAGCAACTGGCGTCATTCTTAATATTGTTTGCACGGATCACAGCGGACTCACTGCTGGCCCTGATTGAATGATACACTTTGCGATTCAAGGACGTACGGCAAACTAGCAGAAACATCACAGAAAGAAAGCCTTAGGGCAGCAAATGATGAGTTTCCGTCGCTCGCAGTGAGACTCAGCGCTCAAAGCTTGTGACATGCATTCAGCCTGCCTGGATTGGCTCGAGTTCGCTTTGTCCTTGCACATGTCTCAAGATAAATGGCTCTTCAAGATTTCAGGTGTGTGCATCCATTCCTGACCAGTTTGTCAACAGCTACAAGAGCAAAGTCCTCACAACAGAGACAACCCGCCACAGCCAGAAGGCTCCGCATGCGATGTGCTCGAAGCAGGTCCGCGAGGCCGGGCCGTATGGCCGGCCGGAGATGGAGGGAAACCGCCAGTCCGAAGGCATGCGGTGGGAAGAATCATAGTAAACAAGTTGGGCCAGCGCCACCATTTCGGCACTTAGGACCATAGGCACAGATCCTGCATTCAGCGCCATTCCGTCACCACTCCAAAACCCACTCGCCAGTTGGAAACGTTTCGCGGAAGTGGGCCGACTCACATTGCAGGTGGGTGGCTCCGTTCAGTTGGACGGCACTTGGAGCTTCCAGGCGCAATTCAAGGCCCTGGGCGCCTGCAACCAGGAGGCCCCCGTGTCGACTCTCGTCGTCACGAATGTCGCGGCGAATCGACCAGACGGAAGATTGGGATCCAAAGACCTTGGATGTTGCCAGACTGCAGGCCAATGGCGTTTCTTTTGCTTTTTAGGGTTGGTGAATCATTCGTTGGTACTGTCTCATGTTCCCTGCTGTTGCTTCACTTCGGATTGCTTGCACTTCTTGACAATAAGTCGGGATTCAGAGACCTTTGTTTTTGGGCGCACAAGAGTGGAAGGGTAGAGAGCTTGGCTTGGGTAGATGGCCCCACGCCTCTCTTCCAACTCGGGCTAATCTCATTCAGGCAACCACCCAAAGTGGGCTATGGTTTCTTGTTGCCCTGCCTGTAAAGTAAGCCCGAAAGGGTTATCCTCAAAACTACCCGCAGTCTTGTCAGGATGACTGGTCCTTCAAGGAGAACTCGGTGAAGGAGGTCACTGATCGCGGCCGGAAAGAGGCTCTGATTCAGGGTTTGCTGGGGTCGCATGTGTCAGTCTGAGGAGCATCCCCGCTGTGCGCTCCATGCAAGCTAAAGTAGTAGCCTATCTTACAAGCAGCCGTGTCGTGTGTTGCTTCCATGTGACACTCGGTCCTATCAAGGTGGCCGACGTACACATGTGTTGAGAAACACATACGTGCGTACACACTAGGCCATTCCCAATGTTTTGAAGAAGGCGTTTTGTAGTGTGTGATAGAGGCGGGAGGAGTTGTTAAAGGCATCAGGAGCGGCAGTCCAAGAATCCACCATTTCTACATTGGTTGGTGCACCTACCCCACATAGCGCCCCATTTTCATGCTCGGGTTCTGCGTTAGGTCATTGACTGGGGAGGGGGCGCGACGTTCTATGGAGGGTCAGGACGGATAAGAACTCAAATACACTACTCTGCACAGGCTTTGCGGATCAAAAGAGATAGATCTTGGGGCAGCGCAGGCATGCATAATCTATACATATGTGCATATATATATATATACACATATATTGCACACAAAAAGTATATATATATATATACATCATTGTTCTTTACATACATGTACACCTGTGAGCGACAAGCCCTGGAGTCCAATCCCCTGGATTGTATCTGTGAGCAGTCGCAGGGCATCACGCGTCTACAGGGAGTTCTGGCGGAGTGCTCCGAGCGAGCACCGGAGCCCAAGAAGCGAAAGATCAAAGACCTGGACAACGAGGACGACCAAAAGATCCTGGAGGCGTGGAAGAATACCGCTCCTACCCGTTTTGATTCATCTGGCTGGGGGTCAAAACCCTGTACCCCCAGTGAACATCCCAATCCCCACTGAAATAGGTTCTAAAATGGGTGGTGCACCTACCCCAAAATGGTACCATGGTTTTGACCCATGGCCATCTGACCAAAAAGCGGGAACGGGTATCAGCTTCCAGTGTGTGGACCTGCGCAGTGGCACGCAGGGAGAAACGCCTGCTTAAACAGTCCAATGTCATGAGCAATGCTAAGACCTCGTTGACCATTCAGCGCTACTTTTAGGAGGATGGGGCAGCAAATTGAAGAATGGATGGACAAATAGTGCCACTATTGGGCGCAGACTATTGGGCGCAGATGTTGAGCAAAGAATCACGAACGCTTGCAGCTTGCTTCAAGCATTACTCGTTACCTGCAGGATTGTAAGAGTCGACCGCATGTCGACGTTGGGTTGCTAAATGAATTGATCTTCCTGATGAGAGGGGCAGGATGACTTGCACCCGCAAATCAGAAAAGGCGTCCATGCGTCTTAGTGCTCAGATGTGGAACTTGATCCAAGCGTGTGCCTTGTGCTGCTATTAAAAGGGCTGCCCTTGTTTGTGGCATGAATGCATTGTAGAAAATGAGGCCCGGAGCTCTTCGGCATTTGTGTGCTGGGCCGCGTTGCAGGAATAGATGGTTGCTTAGCCGGCGCTTTTAGTGTCATGTCTGATGTAGCCATCATTTGCCAATGATCTTTGCATAAGGCTGTTGAACCGGTACGCATTTTGTATCCTGTGTCTTTGAATCAATCCGATGGCTTCATTAGCAATGCATCATCGGCACATCCACTGTGTTTGTCCTGGAATGGTTTCAACCCAGGACCCCTGTCAGTACAGCGCCATTCCTTTCAGGCGAAACAAAAGCTCAGTCCTGTTGCCCCTAAATCCCATTCTGCAAAAGGAAGTGACCCTGGCACGGATCCCAAGCCGGCCGAGTGAACTCCTTTCAGCTTCTGGAGGCACTGGGCGAGGCCGAGCTGGAGCTGCGCCCCTCAGCTCCAATGGGGGGAGCGGGGACGCGGCGGCTGGGGGACGCCTTTGCACGAAAATGTGTCAACCAAGAATATCCTTCACTCCTGGCAGTCTGCTTTGTTGCGGTAGCCTCTGCTCAAAGACTGTCCATAGTTTCACATAATCTGGGGTGTCCGGCTTTCATCGTTCAAAACGCTAGCTGTCCGGGTCCTTTCCAGTACACGTTCCGGTTGTAGATACAGTCAAAAATATGATTGAAATGATGCCGCTTGTTGCGCTGTGCTCCCGTTGTGAAAGACTCTAGTTGTTGCCTGGCTTATTGATCCACTGGGAACGCAAGATTCATCAACATGCTGAATTCAGAGCGGGGTGCTTCTTCAAGAGTGAAGATGCAGAGGTGGAGGTATGTATAGGCGTCAAACAGAGGAACAATAGGAAGCAAAGCAGCGTTGGCAGAAAAACACGCATCGTAAAATAGAAACACGCATGTTTCTTTGCCCTCACAGCAAAGAGTTAGTTCGCCTCGGACCATGAGCTTTGGCAACCTGTGCGCGCTGCGCCCTGAATTCGGGCCAGGTATTTTCTGGCGGGCGAGTTAAGCTCTTTCCTTGTCCTCCATTTTACTCTCCCCTCGACTTCTATGGTTGTTCTTGCGGCATCGCACGAACAACATTTGATTTGGTACATGGGGAGTGGATGATGTTTTCAGCCGATATGCGCGGTCGTTCGATAGAAAGGTGGAGTGCATGTTCAAATGTGCTTAATTAAGCACTGGTTCGCCGCATTTGGACTAGATGCTTTGCACATCTCCTGTCTCCAGCTCGGCGCCAGATGCAAAGCACACGTGTTTGCGTTTTTTACAAGATATCATTCGGGTTGCCCGGGGCGATTCGGAGTAACCTCCAGCATTTGTTCTCAGGAAACCGGTTCACAAACTCCTTGTCACAGCCCAGCCAGCATTGCTGCAAGGAAGGAATGTGAAGGCGCTTCTGGCACCTCTGAAGGCGCGCCAGCTGAACTGAGCTGTTGGAGACCAGGAATATCCAGCCTCCATGCGTGATACCAATGTGTGCATGCTACTTCAAGTAAAGGAGCAGGACTGTCTGGCCTGGCAAAGGGACGTTGTGATTGCAGCAGGCTGCCGTCAAAAGGCTTTGATGGTTCAGGGCCACCATTGTTGCAAGTGGGCAATGCATTGCTGCACACAGGCCAAGTCTAGTTCAAAGCGGAGAAGCAAAAGCCCGCTAAATTCAAGCAGGCTACCAGCAATTTCCCTCAACTAGTTGGGATTCACCTCTTCTTTTGCATTTTGCGCAAACCTGTTTTTCAGGAAAACTGCGGTCTATGCGGTGTCCCGAGTTTTTGGAGTGACCTCTCCTCCCGTTTTGGGTTCGCAGGAGCTGGAGAAGCACCGGGGGGAGGCCAGCGACGGGGCGGCTTTGGCCATCTTCCGGCAGCTGCGGCGGCTCAACGTCACCGTCGACACCCTGAAGGCCACCAGGACCGGGCTGAGACCCGACGGAACCAAGCTGAGAGATGGGAGTTATGGGGTGAGTCGTGAGAGATATGGGCTTGAGTCTCACTGACCATTCTAGTGGTGGAAGAGAACCACTGGGTTTGCCTTTCCACTGGGATGTGTGTGTGTGTGTGTGTGTTTCTTTTTCTTCAGAAGCTGCGGTCCTAGGTCCTGGTGGTGTAGAAACCCTTGTCAAGGGAGGCTGTGAAATTTCAGTGGAAAAGGCAAACACTGGCGAGAACAGCTGAGAGATGAGAGTGTTGGGGTGAGTGTCACTGACATCACTAACCATTTTAAGGGGAAATAAGAAGTTTGGACTCTTTTTGGTCAATGCACTCAGGATCCACTCAGGAAGTGAGGAGTTGTCATTTGGTGTGCTTCGGTGCTTTTGTTCGGTCGGCGAACTGAGCAGGCATGCTTGAGCTAGTCCGGTGCTATGTGTTGGACCTTTTTTTTCTTTTCTTTTTTTGTGGGGGGAGCTGATGCAATAGATCAGCATTGCAAAACATCAACTGGTATGGGCGATGAGGTCGGTTGTTTAGGCCAAATGTTCACTGACTTCATGCCAATGGTTTTGACCCCGCCATGCCAGACCCACTCAGCTTGCAAACGTGTTTGTGTTTGTGTTTGTGTGACCTTTCATGGGCCAAGTTGCAGTAGTACAAATTGGCTGCAGTAACTTCCAAGTTCCATTCCCTCCCCCTGCAACTGCCATGCATTTTTCTCGCGTTTGTTTCAAAGGGGATCTTGCTTGCATGCGAACTACTACACTACTACTCTCCCCCACTGAAATCGCTCCTGACAGCCGGGCCCCCCTTCAAGATGAAACTTCTCTTCCAGGTTGCCTCGCACAAGTTCCAAGGGTTTCAAATAGCAAAAGGAGAACAGGGCTCCTTAAAAGATACATGTTGCCCTTCTAAAAAACATGGCTTTTTCCAGCAAAATGAAGGGACACCACCATTTCACAATGAAACAACACCACCAGAAGACAAGTAGCAATGTTCAGGTGGTGGTGGTGTTTTTCATGCATCCGGATCGGAGTAGTGGACCAGGATCGCCGCGGAGCTCAACAAGCCCTGCTGGCGCGGCAGCCAAGCGAGCAGCGCAGTCCGCAGCGCGGCCACCGCGCTCATCAAGAACTGGCGGTCTATGTACAGGCGCGCCAAAGCGCTCTCTGCACCTTCGCGCCGTTTTTTTCTGCAGACAAGAGAAGTGGCAAGGGAGAGTTGGAACTGACTCAGAAGTGGCCAGGGAGGTTGGCACTTAATGCCAATTGCAAGGGGGCCCCGAAGAGGAGTATCTTTTTGTCACCCTGGTTGCGAAAACAAGGACAAGAAATCATACTTCAGCTGAACCAGCCCAAATCTTGCCGCTGTGTCAGAGCCCAGTTGCTTAGGGTTCTGTTTGTGAGTCTGCAAAAGGGCTCAGCTGGACATGCTGACAAAGAGGGCTGCTCTATTGGCTGATCTTGATGGCAGTCTGGATCTGAAATTGGTGCAATTTGCCGCAAAATTCAGAATTGTGTTTTAACAAAAGCAAAAGAACTCAAACACCCCCATGTCTTTTGCAGTGGATTCTTTGCCGCAGCTTTCTTCTGCAACGCACATTCCCGCGTGGCCAATTTCCGTGTGAGCCTTGTGGCAAGGGAAACCTACATGAATCCCACAGCCCATGTTGTCGCATCCCTCACGATAAACATGGCTTTGCACACATGGGTATGGGTCAGGGTGAAACCACCAGGGGGCAGGTTTTAGTCCTTGGTTCCATTTACCAAGGTTTCATTTTGGGCACCTATTCTTGACCACAGCCACATGAAGAACCCTCAGGCCCACCCGAAATCGTGAAAACGCCGTGCCCTGGCCAGCTCCAGGTCAGAGACCGGTCAACTGGACGAGAAGTCGGACGCCTCCAAAGCCCGCAGAGTGCGCTTGCTGGCAGTAGACTTGGAGGCCCGAAACCGGAACAAAAGGAGATGTTTTGAAATCCCAGAGCGAGCATTTGGCAAAGAACAAAATATGGCACTCTCAAAATTCAAGCTATCAGGGCCTGACAATTTGTTTTTGTCAGGCGCGTGCGAAACTGCTGGGCCGAATCGGGGTGGCACTCGCAAAAACAAAGTGTGTTAGGCCTAGCAGATTGGTTTTTTGGAAGTCTAGCAAATTGGTTTCGCAAGGAGGTGACGCACAACAGTCTAGATCTTTGGAGCTACGTGTTGCTCTCAAGAAGTTAGATCTTTATGTAGTCTTCTCACAACGTGCCGTCAACCTGCTTGGCAGGACAGATGAGTGATGTTTACTCGAAGAAGGGTATAGCTCCATGAAGTTTGCTGACCATGTTTCAACGATAGGCGTGAATGTCATGGCGCTGTGGGGAGAATGGAGGTTCGTATTTTGAAGCGTCGATGGTGTGGATAGGCAATGAATGTCACATGACGTCAGTGTGCAGCACCGCTGGGCGACGTCAATTCCATGGAGAGGTTGAAGGAACCAAGAAGATTTTTTTGTGGCGATCGAGCTCTACCAAACTTTGAAGACATATTGAAGACAAGGTTGTTCAGCTTCAGGATGCAGGTCACAGCCCACAAGTTGATCTCGCAGTTTTGATCATGGGGCCTGAGGGGCCTCTCACACGTATCCGTTCCTGGCCCGCCAAGGAGAAAGTGTTTGATGCGTGCCACAAGATGGGCGAGTACTGCCGCGTGATAGAGTTGCTTTGCCAGGTGCAGAGAGAGACAGAGAGAGAGAGAGAGAGAGAGAGAGAGAGAGAGAGAGAGAGAGAGAGAGAGAGAGAGAGAGAGAGAGAGAGAGAGAGAGAGAGAGGCGGTGAGACAAAGATCCAGAGGGAGGAAGGGAGGGACGGAGGGAGGGAGGAGAGGGAGGGGAGGCAAAACAAAAAAGGAAGAAGACTGACTCGGCGTGTTATTTGTGATAGCCCATATTCCACTTTGGCAGTATATTGTGTTAGGAATGAATAGAATGAACAAAATGATGGCGCTGTGGAAGCAGTTGTTCATTGTCGTTGTGGTTTGCCAGGCTTTGTTGGGCCAACAGAGCATAAGCAAACTTGGCAGGAGCTGGATCAGTGCAGGGACACCGGCGACAACCTACTGCAAGGCAACTGGGAGAGCAGCTACGTGAAGCCAAGTTGTGAATCGGGGTTCACAGAATCCCAACGATTGCCCGGAGCAAAGATGGACTGCTTTAGGGCTCACCCGCACAGCCTAGTTCTGTACACCTGAGCTGATCTTTTGCCGCTTCCCGATGTTGGACGTTGCTTTCAGGCAACGTCTCCGGGCACGACTTGGTGACCAAGAGCATCGGCCGCTTCCGTTTGCGCGCCCGCGCTGTGAAGGACGCGTGGGAAGAAGGGCTCATCCGCTCGTTGAGGGAGCATGGCAGGGCTTTTCTGCTGTGAATGGCAAGCTTCCTTGGGCTGAGGAGACGAGCAAGCTTAAGCGCACCCCGGGATGCAGGCTCAAGCTGCCGCAGGCTCAAGCTGCCGCAGGGTGGTCCGGACTCCGGCTGCCCGAAATCGCGCTTGCAGGCCAAGCCATGTCGGCGCGCCGCCGCAGCTGGGCCGACCTCACGGAGGAGGAGGAGAAGCTAACTCAAGAGCTGGGTCAGGCCGCCTGGCATGCTGAGCATCGGGCCCAAATGAACCAACCAAGATCTATGGACTGGAAGTGTTGAAAACCAAGGAACGCCTGGAGTTCAAGTTGGCAAGATGAGGATTTGCGGGCTTTCCTCGGATCAGGCAAATGCCGAGCAAACGCTCAAATATTCTATGATGCTGGGAAAGTAGAGATTTCCCCTTTGTTTGTACACATACACATATGTGACATATGTGTAACATGTGCAGCGTCGCACGATCATATCAGCGTGTTGCGTTGTAGTAGTTTCTGTTCAAGCAGTTTCCTGTGTTTGTCTATAGTTTCCATCACCACTCAGTCACCCACCCCTCCACCAAATTGCATTCTCACATTCGCGTTTTCAGTATTGATTGGAGCAGATCCGAGTTGAATACCGGCAGGTATGCTGAGGGTGTCAGGGCTCCAGTGATGATCCCCCATGTTCCGCAGAATCCTTGGACAACAAGAGAAGCTGAGGCACCAAGTTCTGAAGGCGTTGTGGTGATCTGGCAGGTAGTGAGTTGGTGCTCCTGGTGCCAGCGGACACCATGCTGGCACCACGCAAACTGGAGCTGCAGGCGCCGAATGTGCAAGTTCTGCCACTGCCCGTGGAGCGCAACTGTGATGCCCCTTTTGTGTTGTGCCCTGGAGACAAGAGAGTTTAAGCGAGCATCATTGCACGACTGGATGTTGGCCGATGGCTGATGTGACAGATTTTCAAAGTGACAGAATGAGCAGGCTGATGGCTGTCCTTGTTTGGATGTGTCCTAATCAGGGAGTCCATAAGAATACGTGGTTTCCTCTTGGTTTCGCTTTGAGCACCAAGTAGAATGGGGTCCCCAAAATTTGAGGACCTGCCCGTTTCAACATTGAGGCCCGGCCGCTCTGCTTGACAGAGAAGTGCATCTCACATCGCTTGGCGCCTGTCTTCCACTGCATCCAAGCAATACCATAGCTCGCGCGGAAAAGCACCGTTGCCTTGTCATGATGCAGAGCAACACCGTAGCACCACGCCTTGTTGCTTGGGATGCATTGCTTTGCCGTATGTCTTCCTCCAACAATCATGGAAGCAAGGAGGATTTTGGGCGACTACCTTCCTTCCGGAAATGGGTCCTAAGAAAGACTATGATCCTTGCCTTGCTTTGTTTAATGCTGACTCTTGACAAAGGCATGATTAGGGCCATCACAAGCTGTCAATTCCAGAAGTCAATGGCCCGCAGGACAAAAAGGCGGAGAGCTCACGGTGAAAAAGATGCTTCTTTTCGCGCGCGGGGCGGGCTGATGCGTGACAAGTCCGAGAATCAACTCCCAGATTGTTGCTTGTCCTTTGCGTGCCCTTTTGGCACAAGGACATGTGCTCTGGTGCACAGTACAATTGATTACATGTCACATTCAAGTCAGCAGGTGTTGTTTCGAAAGCCAAATATTTGTTTTCTCGCAATGCTCAAGCACTTCGTGGCAGCGCTGGCCTTTTTGCAGCTTCAGTTCACATGGGGGCGGGGAAAGAACGGGATTGGGGTTGTTTTCAGGCACCTCATGTTGGACACCCCCCACCATATGCCGGCGGTTTGGGTCTCGTCCAATGACTCAAAGAGGCTCTTTCTAGGGCAGCTGCTTTCGGAAACCTTGTCCCTGCGACTTACGAATGTGTCGAAACATTTGAGAACCTCTTGTTTTGAGTTTCGTAAGTCAACTCTTAAGACGAATGTGCTGATGTCCAACCATTGCTGGGCGGGCAACCCCAAGCTTACCGCCAAGGAATTCCGATGTGCGAGGCAAAGCACTTTAAGGCCCCGCGGATGCACTAAAAGGTGCATCAACCAGAATTCCTGAGTTCATGATCATCGTTCCCGTACATAGGAAGCATCGCATGGGTGCTTCGCAACGGCTGAAACACTGATTCACCAAGCAGTGTGCTGAGGGGTTGACTTGCGAGCAAGCGAAGCCAGGTGATTTGCCTCGGCTGGACCGCAAGGCGTGAAGGTGACTGATGAAAGAATTTGAATTTAGCCATACACAACGTGTACACATGAAGCTCCAGAAATGACAGTCCCACAAGCCTTGGCAGCCAAAAAAAATGTGAAGCTTTCTATGTGTTGCTGTCATCATGCTGAGTTGCAGGCGCTGGTTGGTAGGGTGTTGGCTTAGACAATGCATCCAGGCGTGCTGTTCGGTCACTGTGCTGCAAATCAGCTCTAACAAGGCCATGTCAAGTGCATCGTTCTGAGTCACATCACAGGTTCTGCTGGATCCTCAAAGTACGCGATTCCCCGCAAATGCCGATCACAGTCTATAGCTTGCGAACTGGGAGGCCGCACAACAGCCATCAAAAGCACTTAGTAACACCTTGCGTAGCTCCCTGCAAAGCAGCATTGTGCGTCCCCCCTCCTCCGGTTTTCTGAGAAATATTTGGGGAGTGAGGGGCCCTGAGAACTTGGTGGTGGGCAGCTTACATGAGGCAATGTGCTATTGCATGTACTTTCAGTTGCCCAATGGCGACGTGTTTCTGCTTGTTAGACTCATAGATTGGTCTCACATGTTGGCGACCATTGCCCGCCACAAAGCGTCCTCCATGAGTTTGCGTTCATATTTCTGTGTAGTGCCTCTTCATATTCCCAATGTAGAGGTTGATTAGCTAGGCAGCTTATTTGGCAGAAAGCCACATCCATGCAAAAGTTATTTTGCGGATACTTTGGAAATTATGTGTGTGTCCCATGTCATGTAATGCAACCAGGTCTGACACAAGCGTGTACCTGCCAAGTCGCCCAGAATAGGTGAAATTTCAGAGGTATCAACGTGTATGTGTATATATATATATATATATATATATATATTTATGCGTGTGTGTGTACATACATGGATGGCATCAGGTATTGAATTAAGTATTTTGTAATAGCTAGGTTGTAGAATAAATGATACGTAAACGCGTAGATATGTTAACTGAATGAATTATGTAAATTGTAAATTTGGAGGAATTGATATTGAAATAATATTGTTTGTTTGGTATTGTTATGTTTAATTATATATGTATAAATGTGTTGTTTGTTAAAATGTATTTGGTGTGTATATATAAATATATGTTTTGTTTTTGTTAATGGTTTTTGGTTTGATGGGTTTGAATTGTGTTTTTAAATGTTTTATATAAAATTATATTTATTATGAACAAAAATAATATATATATATATAGATAAGCTAATATAAATAATAATATGATTTCTGCTTGTATTTGAATGATACGAGTATGGTTTTGTGATCGGTTGGGTTAATTATATTATTATGATTGATTTATTTGCTCCGGCTCTTTTTTATTGTTGGGGGGATTATTGATTTTTATCGTAATTCTTGGTTTGGATTTTGTGATTTTCTTTGTTTGGGGGTTGTTATAATTGTGTAGGGTTGAGGCTCCGGAGAGTTTTTTAGGAAAGGGTAAGAAAGGGTTATTTGGGTTAAGCGGTAAGTTTTTGGCCTATAATCTTGTATTGTTATGGGATGTTTTGCTTTGCTTAATTATATCGAGGTGCTAATATATTGGTATACTCGCTTACTGATAATTTGCATAGCGGGAAGCTTATGGATAATTTTTATATTTGACCAACGGAGATATTGTGGGTTTTTGGGACCGGGAGGCGTTATTCCGGGCGATATTGTACTTGGGTCTGTTTATGGTTTCGCCTCCATCTTGCCGACTATAGCTGTTTTAGCCCCCCCGGCGCCTTTGCCTCCTGCCCTTCCTCGTGGAGTCGTGGTAGTAGGAGTGCCGTAAGGCCTCCCGGGTCCGTAAGTTGGGCTAGGAGTGGAGGATGGTGGTCAGAGAAAGCGTGGGGATGTCCTTGCGGTTGATCCGGCCCCTTTCCCGCCAGGTCATGTGCAGGCTGGTGTGCGAGCTTTGGTGCTTTCCGGCGCGGATTATGTCGCCGCGAAGAAGGTGTTTGCGGAGGAGGCAGCGGCTCATCGGCTGGACGACATTCGCATTTTGCCGGTTGAGTTCGATGCTCTGTCAGGCGGCCTGACAATTTCCATGCTGCTCCATGTGGTGCCGCAGGGTGGGAACTTGCAACTGCAGGGGCCTCCGACTCTGATGAATATTATAAAGCTGTTCCGCGACTACAATCTCATCCCAACTACCTTCCAGGAGTATTGGGTTCGCACGGCAGATCTGGCACGGGGAGACCGATCGGTTTTGAGCACGAATGCCTTTCGCGCATCCTGGAGTCAATGCTGACGGTTGACCAACTCAACGCCCCTTGCCTTCGGTCGGCAGAGTTGCTGGCGAGACGGATGCAGGTGATTAGGGAGGCGCACAGGGTGTCGCCTTCTGCGCCGGATTACTCTTCAGCAGATATTATGATGGGCTGGAGATACCGTCGGGCGGGTCAGGGTGTCGATGCGGCGCTGGCCGCCTACGTGGCCAACGACCTCAAGAACGAGGCGGCCATTGCCAGAGAGGCCCGTAAGGCCAGAGAGGAAGCCGACCTCCGCCGCCGCGCTCCCAAAGGTTCCAACAGAAAGAAAGGAGCAGAGGGAGCCGGCGGCGGTGAGCCATGAGTGGTGGGCGGCGGGCGTCCCGCGGGGGCGGGGATGCCCAGTGCATGAGCAAGCCCCCTGTGGTCGACACTAGTGTCTGGCAGGCCACCCAAATGAATTCGGTCCAAGCGGCTGCATCTTTATTTTTTACACTTGATGGCGCTGACAGGCATAGAGACCTTTTTCTAGTGCCGCTGATCTCACGATGGAACTTGGCAACCCTCCTACGCTACATCGCAGAGAGGAAATCATCGGATCCCTCAATGAAATGTTTGCCCCGGCCCTAGTGAATTCATGGCTTCCTGTTGAACTGACTAGTGCGTAGAGAGCTGCCCAAACAGAGGTTCTCAGGCAGGTGAAGACCGTGGCTCAAAACATCCCTTGGTATAGTGAGTGTGAAGCGATTAGAACGCTTCTACAATCCTGCCTCTCATACAATCAGGAGGCTTCGACAACAGTGCGTCCTTACCAACCTAACCTAGTTTCTCTGCCTCAGATGGGGGCTGCTCCTCCTCATCTGCGGGATCTGGTGGATGACTTTGGTCGAGAAATTCGGGAGGACCCCCGTGGGGAACATGATGATTTCAGAGGAGTGGGGAGCAAAGGTTAAATCTGGGGCCTTAATCTTTCCGAACATGGACGGTGTGTTGAAGGGCGACCCCTCCAAGTATATCCAGTTTGTGTATCGTTTGTATTAGGGAGGCATGCTTCGGTTTACTGCACGGCCAAAAGATATGACGACCCCTTTTTCTCGTGGCAAAGAAGAATGGGCGCTTACGCTTGGTGCTTGATTGTCGAGCCATTAACGAGAGATTTCGGGAGCCCCCTCCGATGTTGTTTGCAGCTGGTTCCTCGTGGTCCCAAGTTAAGATTCCAGAAGGTGAACACCTTCATGTGGCTAACATCAAGGATTACTTCTATTCGTTCAGCCTTCCACTTGAGCTTTAGGCTTTCTTTCTGTCTGCCGGCCATCCCTGTGCAGGCCATGAATGACTAGTCGGTTGGGCCTATGCTTTGGGATGGATTATCTAAGGAAAGCCTGGCTTTCCCGGGATGGAATTGGGCTATGTATTGGACGCAGCGGGTTCATCAAACGCAAGCTCTGATTAGATCTGGGCTCTCCCAAGACCGGTTATTGGTGGCTGATTAGCCGTCTCCATCGCTAGCCGGGGGTATTCCTCTTTTGATCGCTTACGCTGACAACTTAAACGTGGCTGGCACATGCCCCAGCTAGGCGCAGGCCGCTAAAGACGGCGCAGTTCAGAGACTGCGCGCTTTGGGGTTTGGGGTCTACGAGAAAATTAACGCCTACACCTCAGCAGACTCTCTAGGCTTCAGGCTTGACGGAGTTTGCGGTGAAGTGACCCCCGTTCCTCAAAAAATTAGGCTTGTTGCGGCTGCTTTCAGATGGTTGCAGAGACGGCCTAGAATCAGTGGCAAAGCAATTGAGAAATTTTGGGTCACGCGGTATATTTCATGATGCTTAGGCGCGAACTGTTGTCACACATGAGGAACTTATACGACTTTGCGCAGCATTCATACAAGCAGAAGCAGAAGTTGTGGAGATCCGCTGCTTGTGAGGCTGCGTGGGTTGTTAAGCTTTTGACAATATGCTACGCGAACCTTCGTAGGCCCTAGTCAGATTAGGTTATTGTTTCAGATGCTTCACTTAGCGGGATTGCTGTCTGTACAAGGGAGGCTCAGGTGACCAAAGTTGCAGGCA